TTGTTGACATAACTTGACTCCAATGTATTTACACATTTCACACATTTAAGACTCGAGACAGTTTTTTTTTTTAATTTTGGTGTCATCTGCATCGACTACTAAGGCCATTAGCCTCGTGTTCTGTGTAGGCTTTGTTACTGTTTCCCAGTGCCACTTTAGGAACAGCACTGTTAATTAGAACCCAACAGTGAATGGTCGAGTGGGGAATTCTACAAAGGAAGTTTTAAAACTAACAAAATAAATATAAACACAACACTAACATAACCTCAAAATGGGTATTAAAACTATTAATTTATTTAGTACGTTTTTACTTTGATATTATTCAGAATTGGTCCAGTATTCAAAAGTTTAAATACATTTGCTGTATATTTCACATAGTTTAGATAAACAGGGTCAGGTAGATATGATCTACATAAACTTCTCAAAAGCGATTGAGGATTATGCAATTTTATTTAGGAATCTAACTAATTATATTGAATAAGAGTTGGCCGTAAAATATCATGGGGGCGGTTTATTTTAGACTAAATAAAAAACCATGATTAGGTTATTAATTTCTAAACACCAGACCATGGTTTTTTTGGTTTTACACACCCTTCTAAATAACTACAATAGCAATTTGTCTAAAAAGAGCGGAAATTGCTACTTTGACGCTAAAGATAATAAATTGCCAGCGAAGCGCGGCATATTTAAAAAGTCGCGAGAAATTATATCATGCCGGTTTTCTAAAAATACTTTTATATCTGTGATATTCTTCTTCAGCACCATCTGGAGACTGTTAGTGAGTAGTGTTTAAAAAATAATATTCACTTTAATTAACGCTTCAAAATGTAAAATAAAAATATCAGCAAACACTAAACTTAAGAATTGAATATTGCATTGACTTGGAAATAATTTAACAAGCAATCCAAAGAAAATTAACATATATTTTAAAATCGTAAAGGTTATTCAACTGCTTAAATTTGGCCATTTTCATGAAAGAAAGAAAATAAATTTTTTTAATTCAGTACCACATGATTTTTTTTTTATTATTAAAGTGTTTAGTTGATACATACTACCGATTAAAGCTCAAGATCATCTTCAGGACTAAAAGAAAGAAAAATAATTCATAACACAATAAAATAAAATCTTATGTGTCCAACACATGACTTTCCTATCTAGTTTTTACAATCTTTTTCCAATTATTTTGTACAACCTAAAACCACTGTAATTTTCAAAGTATGAACTAAATTACATAATTTTCCACACACGTCTTAGAACATTTTTTTATATATATTCATTGCCAACGAAAATACTGGAAAATGAAAATTTTACACTTTTCCTCACCTCAGGATTGATTAAAGCTAAAGTTAAAAATTTGATGTTTTTCTCTTTATCCGTTTTTGAGTACTCCTCAAAATTCGAAATTTGCATTTTCTCTAAAATATCTCGAATACGGTTCATTTTAGGGAAATCATGTATAGGACAATAATTATAGAAAATAACATCACAAGCAACTTTTATTTGAAGATTTTTTTTTAAATCGAATTTAGCACTTTTTTGTTCAATTTCTCGAATACGGACCATTTTAGGAAAATGATGTATAGGCAAAAATTATAGAGAATGACAGCATAAGAAATTTTTATTTTCTTCTCCAAGCGTGAATAACGTATATCCGATAAAGTAGAAAAACGACACCCTATAAAGTATCCCTCAGATGTTCCAAAATCTAATCAACTCACTGCAGGATGGATTAAAGCTCGGGTTTAAAATTTGGTGTTTTCTTGTTAATCCGTTTATGAGTTATCGGGTATACTTGAGTATACTCTTGTTGGAAATTCATCATAGTTTGTATCTGATATTATGCACTTTATACATATTTATCTAGGCCCTTGAGATAGGAACTTCTTATCCCACTCATTTTGCATGAGATAAGTTTATTAACGCACGGGTTTTCCTTATCTCACTGCTTTTCAATCAATTACATAAAAAAGTCAAAATCTATTTAAATTTAATAACAAATTACTGTCACAATATAAAGTAACAAGTAACTATATTTAAAGCTTGTTCTTCAATATCAGATGGCAAACTTTCCAAATCACTCATTTTATTACTAGAAAATGCAAAAATACGATAAAAATTAATTATTTTTGACTTATTATTTAAGACAATATTAACGTTGCTGAGAAGACAAAACGTTTTTATTCAATTGTTAGAACCACCACCCAACATTTCGATGTGTTGCCAAATGACATGTAGGCAGTGGTGGAAAACAATAATCCTAAATTAGGTCTTAGACAAAAATTATAATTACCGTTTATATTTACATTTAGAGGCGTAGATAAAAATGTGTACAATATACGCTTTATTAACGTACGCAAATTTCGCATGCATACGTTAATGCAGTTAACCAGTGGACAGCTTGGAATGACAACAATCAGCCAACTGATATATCTTGATTATGAGAAAGCTTTTGATAAAGTTCCACATGGGCAGCTGTCAAAAAATCATCCAGTTCAAAGTGAAGTATGATAAGGCTCGGTCTTGGGTCTCTTGTTATTTATTTTATACACCAGGGATTTATGCAAAATCATAGAGTCTGAAGCCAACTTTTATGCAGACGATGGAAAGATCTCACAAAATGAAACAAGACTTGAATAAAATAGGAATCTGGTCCCAACAATGGCTACTGCCTCTCAACATAAACAAGTGTCCAGTATTGCACATAGGCCCAAATAATCCCCACACACAGTACACCTTAGATACAAACACAATTACTCCAGTCTAAACACAAAAGGATCTTGGTGTAACCATGTCTAAAGACTTAAAATGGGAAACCCACATTGCTAATATAGTGAAGAAAGTCAACAGTCTGATTTACCTTATCAAAAGAGCTTTTAAAGACCATTCTGAAGATATGATCCTCAAACTGTATACAAATTACATAAGACCAAAGATAGAATTTACGCAACCATCTGGAATCCATACTTTGTGAAAGACATTGAACTGATGGAAAGAGTACAAAGGAGAGTCACCAAAATACCACCAACCCTAAAATACAATGAGAATTGTAATCGGCTAGCCAAACTACAACTTACAAGTTTAAAAATATTCTATTCAAAAGATTTGGAATAAGATGCCTTCTGCACTGCACTAAAGACTTTAAAAATCAGACCACTAAAATTAAAACTGAAGTCATGCCACTGGGAAAATATCTTCTGTAATGCAGTAATTATTAAAAAAAGTATATTATGTGAAAAATGAATATTAAGTAAGAAATGTGTATTTATTTATGTATAAAATGTATATTTGTACTAGGACATGCTCTACACCTCTAACGGTATTTTTTAGGTAAATAAAGATCTTTCATTCAGTGTGGAGGAACTTCAGTATGAAGAAAAGTGACTTGATTCGAAACCGGTAACTTGTGTCAACTAACAACTTTAATATTAATAATAAAAAAATTCTCTGTTGGGTTCTAATAGAGGACTTCTATGCAAGGGAAGTGCAACCAACTTGACAATTTTTTTTGACACTAATGATATAAGAAATCGGGTCACATAAAGAGGCTGTTTTTTTTTTTTGTTAAATTCTTTTTTCTTATCTACTTTTATGCCGTTTAGATACCATGTTGTACCCGTAACATAAAAAAAACTTTTTATTTTAGGGTATTTTACATTTAAAGGTTGAAAACATTTGTCAACATCAGCTGTCGATAATGTCAAAACATAGGCGTAGCATTGCATTTTATTTTTTGTTGTTAATAGTCTATTTGTGTTTCTCCCGCTTTCTTGAAACATTTTTTTTCTTATTTGTTTTTATTTATTTATACCGATTGCAAAATGCTTCTGCTACGAATAAAAGTTCTATACAATATACAACCAACATACAATACTAGTTACGTTATGCCTATCTATGGTTACGCCTGTGTTCTACTATCAACATAATTGATAGCTGACAATGACAAAATGTTTCAACCTTTAAGTGTAAAATACCCTAAAATAAAAAAATGTTTCACGTTATGGGTACAAGGTATGCAAATGGCATGAAAGTAGATAGGAAAAACCAAAAAGTAAACTAAAAAAACAGCCTCTTTATGTGACCCGATTTTTTATGTCATTAGTGTCAATTTTATTTTGTCAAGTTGGTTGCACTTCCCTTGTATAGAAGTCCTCTATTAACAGTGCTGTTCCTAAGTGGCGCCGGGAAACAGTAACAGAGCCCACACAGAACACGAGGCGAAATAACCTTAGCAGTTGAGCCGATGACACACAAAAAAAATAAAAAAAAATTGTGTGGTTGTGTGATTTTAAAAATTTTATTTTCGTTTATATATATTAAGATATCTGGTTTTAAATTAGCCAGAATTTATTCGGAATGGAACAATTTTTCAAAATTTACTAGACAGTTACAAAAATATTTATTAAAATTTACAAGCATGGTAAATTTTGACAATGTTTAGACTGTATTCTCTGACTCAAAAGTTTTAAGGCTCAAAAAGTCGGCTGTAAAAGTAACAGACTTATAATTTATAAAAATAATTTCTATTTAGTAACTTTTATTAAATTACTGGAACGATCTGCTTTCACAAATTAACTTTGTTACATTATGTAAATTCGTTCTTTTATTTTAGATACCACAGATGAAAGGTATATTAATGGACATGTCTATGATTGAAATTTTTATAATTCTAATTCTATAACTCTTGCATGTTTTACAATAAACACTCAAAATATACAATAAATAATGAAGCATTTAAAACCATTGATATTTGCGCTATTTTAAAAGTCATATAGAGCGATGTTATTGACTTACAACTCACAAAAAAAAATCAAAATTCCCTGTAACTAAACAAAGTTCGTGTTTGCAAATATATAATTTAATATTTACATATTGAAGCGATGAAGAACGATTATGAATAAACAAGTTCAATCCGTTATAAAAGTAAAAAGACTTTAAGTTTGCATAAATAATTGCAATTATCAATTATATTTCATGAAATATCAAAATAAATTGTAATTTACCTCTTTTTCAAGCAGTTTTAACTTTTTGTTTGTTCTCTCTTCCTCCGAATCTTCAGATTCACTAGAAGATTCTGAACTAGACCCTGAACTACTAGATTCCGATTTGACAGGTACATTGTTCACACTTGGCCCTATCCGATTCACTGGCTCATCGGGAATTTTTGCATATCTGAAAAGAAAAGTATTTTTGTAGATGGTATAAAATTTTGAAAATCAAATAACAAAAGTGACATAAGAAAATCAGTGTTAAAAAGCTCGTGATTGAATAACATCAAGAAATCAGTTTAAAATTATGATCATCATTAATATTTCGTTTTTATTTTCAAAACCAACTAATATTTAAGGAATTAATTAAATTCATAACGCCGATATTTTTTCCCATAGCATCAAAAAAATGTATGGTGGAGGGCCCAAATAAGTAATCTAAATATATTTATAAAAACTCTTGTGTTATTACACATTCAATCTTCGGTCATCTCAATAGTACTTTGAATTTGATGCACTGCACATGTGTATGCATGTATGTCCCACTATTCAAAACAGTTTTTAAACTCGTCGATTTATTTTCATTTTAGTATTTCTGCCTAATTCTAGTTCACCATTTTTATCACCCAGAAAAGCCAGTGTTTTGGCGATGATTACATCGCCAAAACACTGGCTTTTCCATTCAGGATAATATAAATTAACTAGCAGAGCGACTCCACGATATGCCAGTCAATGCCACAAGTTTATCAATGAACGAAATAAGGTATTTCCAGATGGCTCTATAAATTCATGATTTTTTTTCAGTTCAGCATTGTATTTAGATAACCTAGTAGAATAATCCCAATGCAAATTATCTTGGAGAACAATGGATAGAATCAATAGATGGAAGCAAGCTTCATCGCTCCGAACCATTGAATGGTTGTTGAAACTGAATGACGAAAGTAATTTCTCTATTTACTAATAGATGGACGGAGAGTCGATTAAGTATGAACAGAATATTTGTTTTAGGGGTCGATCTTTTCACCTCTGAGTAAAGTTACATGTAGGTTTACTTGACAGATTAATAAACAATAGCCCTATAGTTTAATCAGCAAGCAGTTACTTTCAACTTTACTCAGAGGTGAAAAGACTGGCACTTAAAAATAAGATATAGGAGCTTTATTATTTTTGATAAACATGTATTTACGATTTATCATCATTTTAGAGAACATAACAATATTAATTAAAATTTGGCAATCTACCCAAATAAATTTAAAAATGAATCTATGTATATAGAATTCTATCCTCAATGATCGAGGTTTTAAAAATGTTGTGATAGGATTACCTCCAATGAAACGTCCATAAGGTTGTTCTACTTGGTTATCTAAATACAATGGTTCGGCTGATTAAAAAACGTCCAGAATGAGGTTGCAATATTTTGTCTTCTTTAAATCGGGAAAACAATTTATTTTACTCAGAGCAGCTGCCATCACGGACACCGGCAAATTTTTTTCCAGAAAAGCAAAGATACGATTTTGTGAATCTTACCTTAAAAGCATACATGCTTAATTTTATTTAATAGATAAGAACGGGTACGCAATCCTAAATATTGTTTTAGTTTATGCCTAATAATTGGTCGACAAAAGTTGCATTTTAACACCGCTTATTTTTTTGGAAATTTTGCAGAGGACCCAGTCCTTGTTTTATAGAAAAAAGGTAATCTGTTAAATTTTCTAAATGTAAGAGGTTTAGAAAGAAAAGTCCTTTAAATTTCACAAGATATGTTTACTTTAATTGAGACCAGTTTCGAAGTGTATTACTTCATCTTCTGGCACATCATGACAACTACAGAAAAGCGACAATAACTGTCGGTCCTTCGAAATTCGGAAAGTAAAATTTTGTGACCTTGAATTTGACTTATGAGACGGATGGCCGGTATAATACAAGGAGAAAAAAATTAATGAATAAATGCTATACACTGATAAAAAATATATTGAAATTGAAAATAATATTTTACCTTACTAATCGTGCATAAAATATATATAATAAAATATTGGTTTTTATTAGTAAAACTTTTAATTTCATTTTTCCAAAAATCAAAAACATGCTAATAGCCATTTTCCGTTATTAATAATATCTATTACAGTTCTAGAGCCAACGTGCAGGTTTGTGACTTATTTTATTAGCGCTGAATTTATTATTAAATTGTAGTGATGGGTCGCTTGGAAAAGTTCACGGACAAGTCCGACGGACTAGTCTGAAAAGTTGACTGGCCCACCGAAATTGGTGGACGGTTTAATATTTCTTGTAGGTGGGCACTTATCGTCGAATGAGCAAAAGGGTACAAATACAGTGAAGCGGCGAGGGTAGAGGCATGAAACAAGGGTTGATGCATGCAACGAGGGTTGATGCATGCAACGAGGGTAGAGGCATGCAACGAGGGTAGAGGCACGCGGCGAGGTAAGCGGGCGAGTTTTATAACGTACTGTATTTTAAATTGAAACATACATACTGAAGCTCTAAGCGACTAGTTGCCGCTTCCAATTTAAAATATATTGCGATATAAGAATCGCCCGCTTACCTCGCCGTGTGTCTTTACTCTCTAGCCTCGCCGCTTCACTATATTTGTACCCTAAGTCAAGTTTTTTTAGAGGCACGTACCATTCGTAATACTTAAGCGCCTTAGTCTGAACGTCGCGCTTTTGTGAATTCGTTGGACACGTGTCATAGCACAATTTAATAATAAATTTAACCATAAGAAAATAAGTTACAAATCTTCACGTTGGCTGTAGGGCTGTTAAAATTCAAAATTTCTTGTCGTTCCAATTACATATCCATAAATGTCATTTTTATCTTTAATTATTGGTAGGGGAGCCAGTGACACTTTTATGTGTGTTATCTATGCAAGACAAAATTACATGGATATTTCGTTCATTGTTGCCTTGTAGAACATGGAAATACTTTGCAGCGATGGAGTCCTCGACTACGACGTCTTAAAATAGCCTGTTTAGATAAGGTCTTGTGCAAATGTGTATCAAAAAAGTGTTACTGGCTACAATATAGACTAGATGACTGTTGGTTAAAGTAACTATGACAGGGGGAAATAGTCATAGCCAATCCAACTTAAGGCGAGGATAAAAGAGAGATAAAAATAGGTTGTATAAAAATAAAATATATTTTTAACTTAAAGAAAACAAATCGGCAAATAACACTTCAAGTCAAGAATCACTACTAAACTAGTAGTTAAACTGGCAAGCTATATATGTGGCAAGGACGTTGAAATTGTAATGACCGTTGGCCGGGTTACGGCCACTCCATTTTTTTTTTTGTGGGAAGACTTTGTCGCTTCTCTGTGGTTGTTCTTCTCGGCTATTGTAGTATTCCTTACTGTTTGTCGCTCTTACGGCTATTGAAGGCAAAAAATTTTTTTAACAAATGACGATTTGCCGCTTAGTTTCAGACATATTTAATTTGGCGAATCTTGAAACATTTTCCTTTTTGTAAGAATGTAGGCTTTCATAACAGGCGTCGATGTAATTGTTTCCGAGCTGATATACCGTGGTCTTTCTTGGTTATTACTACAAACAGTGATTGATACCTACAATATGGATCCAACATCAACCTAAACAGAATCGCACGGTTATCAAAACCTTAGTAAACAGATCGTTAAGGATATGTGAAGCAAGACACATAAACGATTAAATGAAACACCTGACAACGGTGTTACAAGTAAATGGATACAGCAAAAACGACAATCCGTACTACCAGCCCAAAGGAGAATAAGAACGACAATCCGTACTACCAGCCCAAAGGAGAATAAGAACGACAATCCGTACTACAAAACCAAGGAACTGTTTATCTACCGTACGTAGAAGATGTCACTGACCGAATTGGGAAAACCCTAAAGAAAAATAAAATCAGCACTGTCTACAAGCCAACAAAGAAAATAAGGGAATATCTCAAAACAGCTAAAGACCCACTCACATCAGCATGAATGAAAATTATTTTTATGTGAACAAGTAATTGTGTGCTTGCTAAATGTAGATTTGTAGCCTTTATTTTGAATCCTACCCATGTTACACAGGAATGTGAATCATGCTTCGATAATATTTTTGTTAAAAAGTCACTTAATAACCAACCAAACTTAACTTTTGACTCATTTATCCTTAAATGTTACATCACATTTTATACGGTTTTATTACAGGTAAATTGTAAAATAAACACAAAAAATAACTTAAATTGTAAGGAAAAAGTAATTACCAAAATTGACAAATATAAATTACAAACTTTAAGGGCGGCGTCTGGCCATATCTCGAAAACTGTTTATCTGGTCAATTTCGCAATTTTTTTTTTACAAAATCTTTAAAAGAAAATACTTAAAATACTTTGCAATTTTTCGCTATGTCACGTGATATACCACACAATTGTGTTTTCATAAGATGTAATTTTAAACCAAGCTTTCAAAAAAACTAAACAATATTTTGAATTGTGATGTATTTCATTATTTTTCTCTGTTGATTGTACGGGATGTAACGGAAAGACAACATGTAAATATGTTTAGTTTTAAAGAAAATTCCTAAATAAGTCAACGGGATTATATGTGGTTTAGATACCAAAAGTCAAAGTCATTTTTCAAGTACTTTAGAACAATTTCGTTTCTTAAAAAGTCTTTACAAGTCTAGGCACACATCATGAACGGTTTTCAATATTAAAATTAATGCCAGGAGGTATATTTTTCTCGAAAGCTTGGTTTAAAGTCAACCGCGCATATACGGCAGATTTCTATGGGCGAACATCAACCTTAATAAGAAATACAAACTGGAATGATATTCTAAATTTACATGATCCCCAAATTGCAGCTGATCATTTTTTGAGCAAGTTTAGCAAACACATCAAGAACTCAAAAACCCACATAAAGATTCGGAAAAATATTTGAAAATAAAACCCTGGATAACAGAAGGTTTAATTGTATCAATTAGACATAGAGATAAATTTAAAAAAATGTTAAAATTACACTTCTCACCAAAACTGGACCATATGAATACAAAACTTTAAAGAAACAGCCTGAATGTCTTATTAAAAAAAATAAAAAAATGATTATTATTATTATTACAGGCAAATTGAAGATAATGAAACATAAAAAAAAATTATCAACTTAATCTCTGAAGCTACTAATGATTATTTTTTTCGTATAACTTTTAACCAATTAGAACGTTCAATTTAGTTAAGTTACCTCGTATAATTTCGATAATACCTGATTATACATAGAGTAGCTCCACCAATCAAAAATATTTACAATAATTTCATTTCCGTAGTAACCACATCGACAACAATACACTAACTAACAGGACCGTCAAATTTTGACGTTTATCAATAATTAATAATTGTAATTTTCATTGTACCAATATGTATTTAAATTAATAAATTGTTGATATTTACTTAATTTACTCAAAAAATAATCGTATCAAATACAATACGTACTTCAAAATAAATACGGTTATACATCTCAAACTTCATGCATTATTACAAATCGTGTCAGTTTGACAGAATAATCCTCCCGCTTCGTGGTCGGATTATTTAAACTGTCAAACTGACACTCTTTATAATTATGCAACAAGTTATCTATGTATAACCTGATTATTTTGAAGTACTTATAGTATTACTACTGAAAATACTACTAAAAAACTGCAGTTCAATTTGTTAATGAGGATGATGTTGCATTTACAAGACAATAAACTAATGGCAAATCACTGTAATCAATATTTCATCAACATCGGTTTAAAGGTAAAAAATATGAAAATACCTAATGAAAATACTACTAAAAATCCGCAGTTCAATTTGTTAATGAGGATGATGTTGCATTTACAGATTCCACAGAAATTGTATCAATAAATTTTAATACTGTTTCTAAATCATGTTACAGATATGGAACTAATAGAGCATATATCTTCATTAAAAAGTAATAATTCCACCTGGTATTGATGGAATAATAGCTGATATTATAAAAAAATATTCATACATATATTTTAAAACCACTTAAACATATAATAAACTTAGTTTTTTTAAATGGGGTTGTCCCTAAACAATTTAAATCTTCTATAATTACTCAAATTCATAAAGGTGGGTATAAATCCAAAATGTCCAAAGTATAGACCAATTAGTGTAATTAATAATTTTGGAAATATTTTTGAAGTGTGTGAAAACTCGAGTCGTTAAATTTTTTGATCACAATAATATATTAAATAAACGACCGTTTGGTTTTCGAAATGGCAAAACAACGAGTGATGCTATGTGCGCAGTTATTAAGGAAATTACAGAGGGTCGCGATAAAAATAAAAAAATGTATAGCAGTCTTTCTGTATCTTGCTAAGCATTTCACAGTCAACCATGAACTCCTTATACATTTTGGAATGTTATAGTATTCACGGCATAGTTTTGGGTGTTTTTAAGAGTTACCTCACGAATCGGGAACATCGCGTTAAAGTTAATGATACAGTGAGTCAACCCGGGATTGTAAAAATAGGTGTACCTTAAGGTACCGTTCTTGGTGCTGTATTATTCCTGACATATATAAATTATCTCGTCATTAGTAACGAGTACAATTATTGTATCCTAACGCGGACGGCACATTCGTGATATTTCGTGAAAACTCTTGGACGGAAACTAAAACGGTTGTTCAATAAGGTCTTAAAAAAAATAAGATGTGGCTAAATATGTACCAACTTTCATTAAATGTTAACAAAACAAATTATTTCGCTTTTACCCTAACAGAAACAAATAGACCAGGGGCCTATTTCATAAAACTACTTTTCAACTTTTCACTTTGCATATTTTAGTAAATTTATGTTTAATAAAAGCGAAATTTGAAGAGTTAAAAAATAAAATTTGAAAAGCAATTTGAAAAGTGAAAATAAAAAATAAATAATCTGCAAAAACAACGATATTATTGTATGAAACACAAGTATTTTGTACTCCTAAATTTGTAAAGTGCAAAGTGAAAAGTTGCAAAGTAGTTTTATGAAATAGTCCCCAGACTTTATTAGTATAAAAATCACTGGTATGCAAGATGAAATTAAAGAAACAAACGAAGTCAAGTACTTGAATAATTGATAAAAATCTAAAATAGTATCTATGAAAAAACATCGGTAGACTCCGATAAGAAAAGCAAGTTTTTGAGAATGAAAAAAGATAATCAAAAAATGATACAAAATACAAAACACTCCGTATCTCTGAAACCATTCATTTGCGGACATATGTTTATTAAGACTTTTCTGCATATTTTGGCCTATATATACTACCCCCCCGTTTTATTTTGTGACACTTTTTTTTTAACACCCTGTATATAGTTTTGTATTGTATTCCTATGTAGAATTTATGACTGATACTCGGTGATCCATCATGGTCTCTTTATTATATAGTCTTATGTTTTATACTATTTTTAACTTTAATATGTATTTTATTTTTACAATATTTGTAAAAAAAAAAAATAAAATTGTATGTGTAGGCAAGGCTAATAGGTCTTATATGTTTATATATTTTTTTATGACTCAGAGCCGAATAAATAAATATTATACAGTCTTACCCCCCCCCCCCTCCCCCTAACTAACTCGTTACTGGAGTCTTGTTAGGAAAATCGCCGAGACACGTCGATTTTTAATTTCCACATTGTACATTTTTGTATGAAAAGTTTACCCTTAATTTCATCCCTTACTGGAGGGGAGCAATCCTTTCGAAAAATGTAAAGGGCATAGGGTGGTGAGTGATAGCTCATTTGAAATTTTGAAATTTGCTTCATTACGTGTTGATTTATTAATGTTTAAAAATAAAAAAACATCACAAATACGAATGCAACTAAACTAACAGTGACCTTATCTAAAGGCAAAAGTCTTACGTCACGTCTGAACCAAAACCGATATCATGCAGGGCCGAATTTTAATTCTAAGGATGAGTGCGCTACGTTAATTTCCGTTATTCTGAAACAATAAGTAGTCGAGAATTAATGAAGCAAATTTCAAAATTTTTTGCACGGTTGAATAGAGAATAAAACCCCCTTTCAAATGAGCTATTACTCACCACCCCATGCCATTCAAATTTTTCAAAAGGATTGCTTCCCTCCAGTAAGGGATGAAATTAAGGGTAAACTATTCATACAAAAATGTACAATATAGAAATCAAAAATCGACGTGTCTCGGCGATTTTCCTAACAAGACTCCAGTAACGAGTTAGATAAGGGGGGGGGGGTAAGACTTATGATGCTCACTGTATATAGGACAAACAAAGAGAAGCAAACGAATTTGTCATTTAGGACAAACCGAAAAGTCTGCAGTCGCTGAACACACATTATCCGACGGAGAACACAAAACCATTTTCGAAAACACCGACCTACTAGCAACATCAGACATTACTTGACCAGGTTGCACTTGGAGACTATCAAGAAACTTATTTTATTATATAGTCAAATTATTAATTTTCGCAAATAATATAAACCAAATTTTATAAATAATGTTAAAAAATTTTTAAAAAACAGATAAACAATTTTAAGTCAAACATTTTCAGTATATTTATAATTACAAATTCGTACTTACTTAACTTCAAACACATCCTGCAGCTTCCGTGCCATAGCGACCACGTCGTGGTCAGAAGGATTGTACTTGTAACAATTACTAAAAATCAGTCTAACATCAGAGGCAAAATCCTGCGGGGTGCGGTACTCTCTGTTGTCCATTTTTTGTTTGACAGTACCAAAGTCCATTGGTCTCTTTATGATGTCGTGATAGTCGTGCAAGCCAAGTAGTTCTGCATCTACTGGTTGATAGAAAGGCCAAGCATAACTCTGAAAAGAAAACGACCATTTATATTTTGCCTACAAAAGTAATATCTAAAATAAATAAAAATAGTTTAATCAGTGTTAAAAAGCTCGTATTTGAATAACATCAAAGTATCAGATTAATAAGAATCATCATCAAATTTGAAATTAATGTGGTGTAAGTGTCCTAAAAAAGTTTCAGCATGAACTATTTATGTTTCTGCATAAAATTAAGTTTACTATCCATTTAAGGTGGCTAACATATATTTTTAAATGAAAATCTACTCGTATATCTAAATCTACAAATCAGAACTATAGGGAAGGTGGGCAATTTGTTTCCACCAAAATGAAATTCTGTTGCAGAATGAGCATTAATAGGTACTAACATTATACTGGCAAAATTCTTTGATTTTGAATTGTATGTCGACTTGTGAAATTGACAAATTTGTATTGTTAGAGAATGACAGCAGTCAACTGACATTCATGGAATAACAAGCACATTTCTGCAACACAACAACTTGAAAGCGGTACTTTAAAATTACGCCTCTTATATCGAGGGATATTTTAAAGACCTGTAACACAGGAAGAATTTTGCAAAAATCCACATTCTAATGGTGAGCTCCTTAACGACATCCTTTAATTTTATGAATAAAAATGATTTTTTAGTACTTATTTTAATGTCCAGATATTGATTTTGTTAATATACAGGTTTAATTTATTTGTTTTTAATTTTGATTTTTTTAATTTATTTTTAATTATTTATTTTAATTCATTTTTTATATTTATTTAATTTACTTTTATTTATTTATTTTACTTTTATTTATTAATTATTATTAATTAAATTATTATTATTATTATTATTATTATTATTATTATTATTATTATTATCAATTCTTATCATTATTTATTATTTTTATTTAATTTTTATTTATTTTTACCATACTCACAAATTTTGCAAGTTTTTTTTTTGATTTGCCAAAAAACTAAGTTACCATTCAAATTTAGTCAACTAATAAAAATACTATAAAATAAAATCAAATACATTTGATATCTCAGAGGTTAAATTATTTATTAAGCTTTATTTACAACACAGTGACAGATATTAATAAGTAAACAATTTTAGCGCCGTCTTTTCAATTGCAAAAACATGCATTTGGGAAATTACAAACCAAAAATATCTTAAAACTAAATCTAATAGTTATTAAAACAAAATAATAATATAATAACTTACCGAATGTTTTTTGGAAAACAATTCTATTAGGATCTCATTACAGGCTTTGATGGACTCAGGTAATTTGTCTTTAGGTTTGTGCGAGGCGGGTTGGGGTACATGGCAGTCAATTTCTGGTCGTGTGGGCTTTTTAATTTGCCTTCCTGATTCCCTGCGCGTTGAAATTTTCGCAGATTTCGATTCTAATGCGGTCGGATAATCATAGGCGGTCGCAGGAGTTGTTGTGTCGGCCTTTCTCTTCACGCCTTTTTTTACCTGAAACACAAAATGCTCAATGTAAGTAATACAAAAATAAAATGGGTGTCATATAAATTGGCCTAGAATATTCTATTAATTAGCACCTGCATAATGCATTGATTAAAACAGATGGATCGTTCAGAGAACGGAACTTAACGACGGACAAAACATGAATTAAAAAAAAAAAAAAGATGCGAGATTAATGAGTATTCTAGAAACAGTAGAATAAATAGATTAAACTTGGAGTGAAATTAGAATCAAGACAACTTTTTAGGATACAGAAAAAACTGTAGATAAGAATTAGACAGTGGTGTACCTGAATAGTGTTAATTTAATTATGAGTAAGTGCTTAACATGTAAAAAAGACGCAAATGAGGATAAAACCTCTTTTAAGTGTGATGGATTTAAGCGGCTTTTACATATAAACTGTTCCAATGTAACAGCGCTGAAAATTAGATGCCTTCAGCTTTCTTCTGAAACTAGGAAATTCATTTTTTTGTGATGATTGTGAAAATAGTTTATTACTAAAACCGGTTGAAAAGCATGGTTGACGATTTGAAAGTCGAAGTGAACCAAATAAAAAGCGCCATGAAAAATCTTTAAAAATCCGATTCTCTAAATTTGCTCGGATAAAAGCAAGCGACCGATTTTTCAAAGGTATTTGAATAATTTAAAGGAAATACGACAAAAATAGATTTGAAAATAATCAATTGATCGAATATAATCGGTTATTTATATAATCGATATTTCGGTTATTTTTTTAGAATTATCGATTTATTGGTTTTTCGGCTTTTTAATTAATCGATTATTTTCGAATTTTCAAAAATAATTGAATAAATCAATTTTAAAGAAAATACCAAAAAATAGATTTGAAAATAATCGATAATTCGTTTTTTTTTTAATCGATTAATTGTAGAATCAGCTTCTTAATTAATCGATTATTTTCGATTAATTATTTTCGAATTATCGATTATTTTAAATTTTCAAAGATAAACGAATATTCGATTTTAAAGGAAATGCGAAAAAATAAATAGATTACTTGATAATAATATCGATTGATCGAAAATAATCGATTATATAAAATAATCGATTATTTAAATCAACAATTCGTTTTTTTTTTGTAAAATCGATTCATTAGTTAATCAGCTTTTTAATTAATCGATTATTTTTGATTTTTCAAGGATGGTCCATTAATCTATTTCAAAGGAAATACAAACAAAAATGGATTTGAAAATAATCGATTATTTAAAGTTTTCGATAACTCGTTTATTATTTTTTGGAAACACCGATTTATAAGTTAATCGTTTTGTTAATTAATCGATTATTTTCGATTTTTCAAAGATAATCGAATAATCTATTTTAAAGGAAATACGAAAAAAATATATAATCGCCCATCCCTAGCGACAGAATGACTTTTATTAGGTTTAAATTTAAAAATGTTATTCTAGAGATTTATGTGACACATCCTCTATATTAATAATTAATATTCCCAAAGAAAGAAGCTTCAATAATAATATACTTTTTTCTGAGGTTACTATACAAAACAGCATTTTCTCATTTTGACTAATTTTTAATATTATGTAATAGCCATAGAAAAAATATAATGTTCAACTAGGTTTGATTTGCAGTATTTGCATGCACACATGCTGCTATTATATTACTCGTAGACAATGAGTACCATTCCTTGCTGATTAACAATATTTTATTTCAACATTTTATTGTAGTCCATAGTAAATAAAAGCTAATGAAATATTCTATAAAATAACTAGTATCTTCTCTATACATAGAATGTCGTTGCATCTGTTTGATATTAAAAAATCACATTAATTTTATTTCATAATACAACATTCCATTAAACACCTTTTTAGTAAATTTAATAGTTCATGATGATCGTAATAAACAAATTCCGTCGTCCCTGTCACAGAGTTCGGGTCTCCTCCCAGTTCCCCCATTTCCGTTATCCTTTCTTTAGAAATTGGTAACATTCGCGCATGTTAAACACTGGTGTGGTGTGTGTGTGTGTGTGTGTGTGTGTGTGTGTGTGTGTGTGTGTGTGTGTGTCTGTGTGTCTGTGTGTGTGTGTGTGTGTCTGTGTGTGTTTGTGTGTTACATCTCTGGTGTCTCTAATCTAAGGCTATACCTAAACAAAGACAGATACGAGTCATGTCCGTGATAAGTATACACGGCTCTGAATTTTATCCAAACTGAAAAACTGCAGGCTCCGAGATGCGTGAATTTTTGGGAGGCCTACAATAGAAACATTTTTTATATATTTTCTTTATTTTTTGTTCATGTACCTCTTGATATAATCGGTATCATCAACTACCAAGGTCATTAGAAGGTTATTAGCATAGTGAGCTGTTAAAACTTTGTTACTGTTTCCAGCGCCACTTTAGGAACCCCGCTGTTAATTAGAACCCAACAGTAAATGGTCAAGTAGTGAATCCTACTTATGCAATAGAATAAATTAAATTAATTGGAAAAAATCCCATCACCAGCAGGATTCGAACCCAAGACCCTTGCATCAGAAAGTTTTGACTAACCACTGAGCCACCCCTCAATATTCTTTTATTTTTAATTTCTTTCAAAAGGTCTACATATGATTGTGTATAGATATTCTTGTTTCCTCTGCCAGCAATTTATTTGTTACCTCTTATGTATATCTACTAAATATACAGTATTTCTATTTCTTGAAGGAGCAACAACGTAGATAAAGGTTGAACATAGATAGTCTTATTTGTTTTTCTTAATTGTTTGAAATCAAGAATAAAATACTGTTAAGATGGTACCTTTGAGATGATATAAAATGGGTTTATTTTTTATAAAAAATACCTTTGCTGGTTGTGCCGGAGGTATTACATTTCCAGGTAACACTCCACTAGAGTCTAAGGAATTGGCCAAAGGAGCTCCAGCTCCGTGTGTGGATCCAACTGAAGTAGTAAGCTGCTGGGAAGCCAGAGAGCTATTATTGGTAGTTGCAGGTGCTATCGTGGTTGTTGCTGTGCTGCCTGGTACTGTAGCTGGAGCTTGGGTACCCAATGGTAAACCTGATGATCCTATAAAGAAGATCGTCAAATATAATTATGTTTTAATGATGAAGGGATGAAGGAAAAATAGTTCAAAATTTGTTTACTTTCAGTGTTAAAAAGCTCGTATTTGAAACATCAGTAATTTCAGACGATTTAAAATTTCATCATGTATTATAATTTTATAATTTTGATTGTAATGTGTTGAAAATTAATAAAAAAAAACAGTACTTTAGAACTGTAATTAGAATAGTTCAATATATGCATTTCAAATTTGGTAGATATTATTTTTTCTCGACATTGTGTGAATATAAAATACCATGCCAAAATATATTTTTATTGATATGTAATTTAGTGTTATGAGGAGGCGTCCAAATTTTATTGATATGTAATTTAGTGTTATGAGGAGGCGTCCAAACTGCCCATTTTGAAATGTGCGCCTCATTTATTTCACCTATGCGCCGGAATGAAGCGCCTCACTAGCGAATTTATATTTAAAACAGTGATAAAAGTACTGCTTCCACATTGTTGCCATTTTTGTAAATTATTGAAATCACGGAATACATTAACCCTTCAGTCACCAACCTACATTTTTTGTTTTGAAATTCTGATATTTCACAAACAAATTATTCTATATATTTTTTTTAAACATTTTATTGAAAAAGAAAAATCAATAATTTATATCCGCACCCAAATGATTTAATGTCCACATTTGTGGACAATGTGACTTTATGACAAGATTTTGTTTTATGCTTTTTGAAATATTCTATTGGGGATGACACACATGTACATCAGAGATTCTAGTCTTCATGCTAAATAACTGGTTGAGTCTAATAAGTAACATTAGATTTCCATTTCAGTCAGGTTGTATTTGTTGCAGAACGTTTTTGTTATTTTACTCTCATTTTCCTTCTTGCTTGCTTCTTGCTCAATTTCTTCGCTTTCAGATTGATTATCTGAATTGTCGGAGTCACTTTGTATATTGTTACTGAATTCAGCTATATCATATCCCTCCTCAGAAAAATCACCTAATACATCATATGCTAGTAACATCTCCAAAAAATCTTCATAGGTTACCTCATTTAGTAAATCAAGATATGTATTTATCCCCCATTTTTGATTGATTATAACGGCAAATAAAATATGGAAATATAAATAACATCATGATTTTACCCACTTTTGAGGACATATAAATTTACACGCCAAATTTACGTTTCCAGATACAAAATATGTTTGAAGTATATAAATCACATGTTAGGTTCTTTCGTTCGCCCCACTGGTGTAGGAATGAACTACACCAACGCACACCATACCTTTAATTTGGTCAGGTGTAAAATCCACTACACCTTCCTGTCGGCGATGTAGTGTCCACTGGTGGATATTTTCTCCACCAGCTATCTAGCAGGAGTGAATTACACTTGACATGTGAATCAGGAATAAGAAGGAAGTAAACTAGGAAAATAAAGGTGGTGTAACTGGTGTAATTTACACTGGTGGACACTGCACCAACAGTGAATGAAAGAACCTATAGAATATTTTTTCCTAACAATTCAAACACTTTTTCACAAAATAATAGGTATTATTCATTCAAAAATCTGCTATTCAAATTCAAATGTTTTGGTTACCATTTAACACACCAGAACGTTCGCTATTCATAAAATGTGTAAACTTCTTCGTTTAAGTAATAGACGCCGAAACCTCAACCATGATCTTTATGAATGATGTCATTTTGAGTCCATTGTAAAATATAAACCATAATATAGAAAATTGATAGGTATACGGTTGATTGAAAATGGTGTTCCCAAATAATGTGGACACAGTGACTGAACGGGTTGATAAGAAATTGAATAATTAAAATAACAGTAACTATCTTATCGATATTATGTGTTGAAAGATGTTTATAATCGATGTATCTTATTAATATTATTCATAAATATATATTACATGTTTTACAATAAAAAAAAGGGAGAAAAGAGCGAAAGCAAACTAAAAAATAGAACAGAATGGCATACATGATCCGTTAAATCATAAGCTCTGGGTTTAAAAGACCTGTAAAAACTTTATACAGATCGATAGTAAAAATCCTAATACCACAGTGCTGGCAAGATAAAACCTTCGATCCTGTTTGTGTTGGGAGTGAATAGCAAATAAAGTTTGCATGTACAGGAGAACAAACGATTTCATGTCCATGTTGCCATTTAAAGGTGGGTAGTGTGCTAATTATCAGCAACTCAACCTGCGATTGGCAACATGGATACTGCCATTTATTTTTCTCAATGTGCAATCGGTATTATTTGTTGATTACTATAATACGTGCAGACAGACCTGAAGGTCTGATTTTGTCAGAACTGTATATACATGTACAATACTAATAATTGTTATGCAGAATTAGTTTGGTGCATAGTATCAGAGGGTAATTATTAATGATACAGTTCAAGTGCTACTGTTAGTGATGATAAATCTATATTTGAAAGATTGAGGATGTGATTTAGGTCCATATTTATAATCGGAACTCAAGTGATTTCTTTGAACGAAAATCAAAATTCGGTTATATCGCAGGAATTTAGAGATGGGAAAATAACAAATAAGTAAATTTTCTTTACATACATACAGATTTGCTACTGTCCATCTTTAAATTGCAGTGCAATATTGGAACCACCTGTAACTCTAGAGCAGTTACAACTGGACAAGGACCAACTCATGTAAGTCACTCACTTGAAATCAGTTTAAAAACAGTTACCTTAATTACATCACAGCTTTCTCATTTTTCCCAAACTCGAATTTTGTTTCTACTAGTGAAACAAATTCATGTACCTGGTACCTACTTGATTTAATTATTAAAAATATCCTGCTGTATTCTTTTTTTCCTGCTATATTCTTTATTTACAGATTATGACTGTCACATCGCATTTAATGAAATACTATTTCTGTTTTTTAATAATATATTGTCGTCTATTAAAAAGTGCCTTCAGTATGTTGAATGTGCAAGTGTGTTACCTGTGGTAGTGGCAACTGGAGTCGCACTTGTAGATGAAACAGTAGCAGGCGGCCTGCCTCTACCAGTTGCCGTTGGTGTTGGTGGCGGAACCGCCGCCACCACCGGTGTCGAGGGGGTACCTGGGCCGCCGGAACTTCCTCGGCCCTTCTTTCCTTTTGTCCCTAAAATAAAATAAAACTACACTGAAACAGAATATTCGTAACAGGAACGAATCTCAAAAACCGCAGGTTGGCCATTGATGCTGAAGTTCAAGACAACCACTAACGTTTTTCACACGAAATACCCTAAGCTTAGGCAATATGTAGCATTTGAGTCACTTGTTGAATTCACAAGTACTACTGATTTAACGGACCATTTATAATTTATGATGCTCTCAAAAGAAAAAAAAAATAGTTTCAAAATGTTGTTGTCTTATTGTTTTATATTTGTATATTAATTAATTTAAATTATTATTAGTTACCTTTGATAGGACTTTCGACTACAAATTCCTCCTTTGGCATATCAGCCACTTTGGTCAAAAACACTTTCTCCAATGTTTGGGCCATTACAACCACATCTTCTCCAGGTTTGTTGTACACATAACAATTTGTGAACATTGTGTTGAAGTCCTGTATGCACTCTTTGCCCGACCAATAATAGTTGTTCTCTAAGCGCTTCTTTATTGTTCCCAGGTCCATTGGTTGTTTGATTATTCTGTGGTAGTCCTGTTAAAAAAATCAATAAATTAAATCAAATCATTATTTATCTGCTGATATCATTCTAACCCTTGCCGCAGCAAGGGTTTCATAGTTTTTTAATTTACAAAAAGGTTTAATTATATACAGGGTGTTTATTAATAAAGTGCCGATACTTAAGGGTGTGAATCCTTGGGTGATTACTATACTTACTATACTATTAAAAAAACTCAAAGGTATAGGAATGAGAGGAAAGCCACATGACTGGGTAGTCTCATATTTGGCAGATCGGTGTCAGATAATAGCAATTGATGGAGCTTCATCTGAATGCAAGAGTAATGCATTAGACATTCCCCAAGGTACATTGCTTGGGCCAATATTCTTTATAATTTTTATAAACGACATTTCAAACACTTATGAAACATCAGTTAAAGCTGTTTTTATGTGGATGATGCCAATATGATACTGTCTGACAAATGTGTCAGTACCCTAGTAGAAAATGGAAATAACGTCACAATGGAATTTGAGGGATATTGTGAGAAAAATGGTCTTTAGCTAAATTGCGAGAAAACTTTATATATGAGGTTTCTACCTAAAAATATTACTCCTGACCATGATTTGCTAATTAAACTTTCTGGAAAATCAATAGAAAGTACTCAATCAATGAAATTTCTAGGTGTAACTCTTGATCCTAAGCTAACGTGGGAGCTTCTTATCAATAAGCTATGCTCAAAGCTGAGTAGCACCTGCTTTATTTTGAGAAGTCTTAGGGATAAAGTTTCCATTAACATCTTGTGAATATTACATTTCGGACTGGTACAATCTGTTACAGTATGGCTTGTAGGTGTAGGGTTCCTCCTTCACACATAGATAGAGCATTCATCATGCAGAAGAAAATTGTAAGATGTATGGATAGAACTCATCCATTAGCAAGCTGCCGAAATCTATTTAAGAAATGAAATTCTAACAGTGCACTCTTTATATATTTTACAATTAATACTGTATATCTATGATAAGAACCAGTTCACCTTAAAAAATGAAATTAACTCATATAATACCCACCATAATGATGACATTCATACACCCTTCTCAAGACTGAGAGTGAGTCAGAATTCTCCCAATTATATATAGGGGTTAAATGTTTCAATAAAATAAAAACGCTTATTGACTTAGTCGGCCCAAGGAACAGCATAAAGAATAACATTTTTAACTTCCCCTACAATAACACATTTTACAATATTGATGAGTTCTTCAATTTTTGAATTACACAATGAAGGTATCATAATCTGTTAACCAGGTCATTTTCTAAATTTTAAATTGTATGTTTCTTTTAATAATATAAGTAGTCTTATGTATATAATTAAGTGTTTACTATTTTTAAGATAATTGTTTTTAAAAATTTAATATTGTTTAAAACTTGACTAATTTGATAAGTGGCTTTCACTATGTAAATGTCCTTTTATGGTGAATAAACTGATTTAATTTGGATTTGATTTTAAGAAGAAAAGTTAATATGTCATAAACATCTTAATTTTTAAGCGTTTTAAGAAAAAAATAACTTTTTATCATAATTTTCTTATTACTCCAAATATTTTTATGAAATTTTGTACACACCTTTTAATCATTAACGAAAATTTTTTGATGTAAATAATTTTTTAAAATTTTTACCAGTGACGTCCGTACGGGGTTTGAACTGAATATTTTTGAAGAAAAAATAGTACCCCACTGCTTATTCTGAAAACCAAAATTATTTTTGAAATCCTCATTTATTTTGGAGCAAATTTGGTACTTACTTTCGTATGATGCACCGTTTTTACGTAAAAAAAATATTATTGTGGATGGTCAAATTTTTTCCATAAATCCATTGTGACTGCTTTTCATATTTTGTTGAAATTTGGTAGGCACCCACCATGCATGAAAACATTTTTTGGGACAAAAATTAATTTTCTACTTTCACAAATGACATTCACGTAAGCATGATATTGAATATTTGAATAGAAAAAACGGTAAGCACATTAAATGTCCTCTTAAAGCAAATGAAATAAAAATTAGTAGGCTGGGTAATGCGTCTTAATTTTTGACCTTTCTTTTCACAAAGACAATAAATTTGACGTTGTGTTCACATTATTAAATAATTATTATTAAAGTAAGAGGTGAAGCGGTTTATTCTGTAACGTTTTAGTAAATTTTAACCGCCAGGTTATTTATAACTATGACATTTAAATTTTAACTCAAATTTGCTATTCGATAGGCCATCAATTTAATTTTGCGTTATTAGCTATTTTATAACCAGTCCCAGATAATTTAGACATGGCAAAGATGTAATAATATACCAAAAAGTGAATTGAAATTAAGTCCAACCCAAAATAAGAAAAATAAAATATTTGACATGTAATAATTACTAGATTTACAACTGATATAAGTTATAATTTTAACCAAATAATACAGAAAACATCCAGTTTTAACCAAATTTTTACAGAATAGACCCCAAAATCGGATAAAAAAAAAATGGTAAATTTTCAAGGACAGTGAATTGGCTGCCATGCATTTTACTTATGAGCTTGCAGACAGAAATGCATATGAAACCAGATGGATATACCAAGAGCAGTATCCAAATTGCGTACTACCCGAACAGAGAACATTTTCTAGGGACGTCTTCACGAGACCGGAACTTTAAAAGTAGACCACAGGACAAAAGGAGTCCATCAAACAATAAGAACACCGGAACTTGAAGAAGGAATTTTACATGAAATTGAGGAGAACTCAGCAACATTTAATGTTTCACATGTACTTGTTTGGAAAATTCTCATGCAAAATTTGTTATACCCATATCACATTCAAAGAGTCCAGGCATTACAGTGGTTTCTACAAAACCTGCTGGAAAATTCGTTATTTGACAGGCACATTCTTTTTATCAATGAAGCTCATTGTTCTCGAAACTCAATAATAAATGTCCATAATAACCATTTATGGAGGGATGAAACCCCTTATGGAGTTTGATCAAATGATCAAGAACAGTTCTCTTTAAATATTTGGGCAGGTATTATTGATGATTATTTGATAGGTCCATTTTTTCTCCCAAGAAGATGGACAATCAGTTTTACACTTTCTTGAAGAAGATCTGTCGCCAATGCTTGAACACCTTCCTCTTTTATTAAGAAACCAGATGTGGCTACTGCACGATGGTGGGCCTCCACATTTTAGCTTGTGAGTGTGAATTTTTAAATCGCACCTATCGCAATCGGTGAATAGGAACGTCATTTCGTTTTAGATTTAAGATTTTGAATTTATCCTTTAAAATCAGAGGCGTACCGTTTTTTATATCCAAACATTTAATATCATGCTTACTTGGACGTCAGTGGTGGAAGTAGAAAATTAATTTTGCCTCAATAAAGTGTTTCCACGCATGATAGGTGCCTATCAAATTTCAACAAAATATCAAAAACAGTTTCAATGAACTTAAGAAAAAAAGAGAAAATGGTGCATTGTATTTTTAAGTATTGAGTTGAAACGATGTAAGGACGTGACTGGTAAAAATTTTAAAAAATATTTTACGTCAAAACATGTTCTTTAATGATTAAAAGGTTTGTACAAAATTTCATAAAAATATCTGGAGTGATCAGAAATTAACAGGTTTACGACATATGTTGATATTAACTTTTCTTACTAAAATTACCCAAAGATTCACCTCTTAAGTATCAGCATTAATTAATAAACATCCTGTATATTAAAATGGAGACGTTTCTAGTAATCTCTGAATATAAAAAAAACTATGGAAGGATATTTACGGGCAAGTTGAGTTTTCTAGCGTCGACAGGTTGCTGGAAAGGCCATGCAAACTGATGCTTCCACACAGCCTTTAGTACGGTTTTCTGCAAAAATTGCAGTTGGTTTGTGACGCGCCCTGGGCTATCTGGAGGTGGATGAACTAATGGTTGTACCACCCCATTTACAGGTTCCACAGGGGGTTCGTTACGAGGTGGACGTTCCATTTTCTCCTCCCTAGAAAAAAATAATCAAAATTAAAAAAAAGCAGTTTATAGTTTTGAATTAAAGAATTAAAGGTTCATAATCAGAGGTTAATAAAAAAAAAATTCTAGAGTAAAGACGAAACCTACAAAAGGAAGTAAAAAAATAATTCCAATCCAAATAGATTCATTACTGTACTAATCACGAAGAGACAATAGCAGATTCAAGAAATGGTGAAAATATGGACTCAAGAAATTATTGAAAAGTAAAAAATTTCTCATGAACAAATCCGACGACATAGTCACAATTATAAAAAAAGAAAATTAAGAATAAGAAATAAATGAATTTTATGCATCAATTTATAATAATCAATATTAAGTTTCATTTAACAATCTGTGAAAATCTAAAGATAAAGTTTTTACTACAAATTACTGAAAAATCGTCATGACATTTACAGAAGAATTATTAACAAAAAATTAGAACCCTTCTTCCATTTACAGAAAATTTTAAAAACCAATTCATGTTTTAGATAGAATAAGTTCTAATAAAAAATGTAATTTTGCACTGGTTCAAACAATTAAATAAACAAACTACCATATCTATGAGAATAAACAATAGTTTGAATAAAAGTATTTCTTAATTAATTGTATTAAATAATTTTATAGAAACAATGTTTAAGGAGGTCCTTTCGTCACCAATGTTAAATAAAAAATATTAGATTATGACTAAATAATTACATTTACACTATTCATAAAAAAATTGTTTTCAATTTACTCATTTGTGTCGTAATTTTATTTAAATAATAATAAAAAAAATATAATAAATAATGTGTAAGTATATCTTATGATAAATAAATAAATAATTAGATAGTACTCTAATAAGCTGATATTTTTCATTTATTGTGATATTTTCAATTATAAAATAAAAAAATTTGGTAAAAATAAATAAATATAAATGAAAAACATAATTGCGTTAAAGTTTACATTGAATGTATTCAATGGTCTGAAGTTCGTGCGCTACGCAACGTTGCCAAATGTTTTGACTCCATTTTAAGCTAGGTTACTTGAAAAATTTTTGTGATTTTTTTAATATTAATTTCTAAATAAAAAACAAAACCTAAATATTTCAAAAACCTTATTTGTAGTTTTTTTCTACTCCATCTAATCAATAAATAATAGTATAATTCGAGAATTGTTGTTGACGTCTTACTTTCTCGTAATACACTGTACAAATTACTCACATTTTTAAAAGAATTTTTCTCAAAAATTTGCAGGGTAAGGTATAGTTAAAAGTTCACTATTAGATAAATAAGGACTTCAACTATTAGAAAAAAATTAATTTTAGTCATAATCTATAATTGTTAATTTAACATTGATGGCGAAAGGACCTCCTTAAGAAGAAATGAAAACTTTCAAGGTTGCTAATGAAATTAAAAATTAAAATAAATGTAAAACTTAGAAACCTTTTAAACATGTATAATAAGAAAAGTCAGATTTTATTATTCTCAAAATAAAGTACAAAACATTTTAAAATGTCTATGTTCAAACTTTTGTATCACTATTAATATTCACATATAAAATGTATATATACATTAACTTGAGAAAATGAATGCAGTACATGCTAATAATTTCTCAAATTGGCCAAAAACTTATTTTGTGAGAATTTAAGCTTTATTTCATTTTTTTAAATGTTGTTTTGAGAAATTGAAGCATTTATTAACTACAGTTGCCATTTACTTACAAAATTAGTTATAAAAATGACCTGGGCCTACCAATCAGCTGGTTGTATGTTTCAACTTATATTCCATTGTACAGAATATATTCTTAGAAGATAAAAGCCATACTAGCTAGGATCTGTAAAGAATAGAAAATTTTATTAATGTTAATTCCTGGTATTATCTTTAACTTATCCAAAAATTAAATTACTATGTCTTTATAAGAGTCAAAATTACTTAAGATCAAAATTGCCAACTATATTTTTATTAATCATAAGTTTTACAATAAATATGTTGATATTTTGTCAAAATAAAGCAAATTTTTTATTAACTTTTCCTGTAATAAATCAACTACATTTTTTGTATAGTTAACACTTTGACAAATTTTCCATACTCATCTAATTCAATGCTTCTGATAACAGACCATACATTGGATACATATAATAAAACTATTTTAAAACGTACTTAGTTTTATATTTTTTTTTTGCGTCAAAATTATGTTTGTGTTAAGAATTAAAAAAGAAAATACAAAAATAAAAAGAGTATAATTAAAATATATGTGTGAATCATAGGTATAATTAATGTGCTAAAATAATAAAAAATAATTTTCATAATACATATAAGGTTCTATCTAGGGCTTCAAGTTTTACAAATTTTTCTTCGAGAATCATGAATTGGTTAACTTAAATCATCATCAGTCTTTAGAAATAGCATAGTTAAATTAATTTGATCAAAACTATTAACTTATATTAATTTAATCTTTATATTTGTTCACATTAAAATAATGACAAATTTAATATAAAAAATAAAGACACAAAAATTAATTTAATGTCTTGCAAATTACATTGGTGGTTTGTGATAAATTTAAAGTTTGTCTTACTAAACAAAATAATAATTTTATTGTATTAGTTTAGCAGTGTATAGAGCCCAATTAAATAGTACATCTGTTGAATACCTACTATTTTATTGTCAATAAAATTACATTTAAAAAAAAAAACAAAATTGGAAAATCTGCTTATTAACACTAGATTAAGAAATTTGAGAAGTATCTCTTCACACGCATTATCATTTAAAACTTTTATTTTAAAATAATTTTGAATGAGAGCGTAACATTTAAAGTATCTTTTTCATATTCAATATTTCCCAACTACAAAAATTTAAAAATATATTTTATTTAAACAATACCACGTTTTCACGTAATTTAAAACAAATACGATTTATTGCTAAAACTTACCACTAAATATATTAGAAAATTAATAATTCCTTTGTGCAATACTGGAAAAGCATTAAAAATAATTGCAAGTGTATTCAAATATAATGTGAAGGCACTTAAAACACCTTTACTGTCCAGTAGGTATTATCACTGTTTAAAAATGACAACTGATTTTCCATGAGTTTATCTCACAAAGTAATAATGTTTTAAAATATATCAGAACTCTTTAGTCTTCATCATAATTTACAAATTATTCTTAGTACAAATCAATCTGTTATTACCTACTTAATATCAAAAATTTTAAATAATCCATAAATAAGTATATAATAATTGTTTATGATGGGTACTTAAGGAAGCAGAGAAGATAAAATTAAGAACGTTCTTCCCTAATTTTGGCCATTAAAGAATAATTAAAAGTTAATATATACAAGGATTAAATTCCTAGAAATAAATCATTAAAATGTGCCTAGGATGATGTTGGGTTATTTTTTCAAGTTCGTAATTATGATTAAAAACCCTCATCTTAATCCCTCAAAAGCTTTAAGAGAAATAGAACAATAAAATTACAATGAGAAAGGGAGAGGTAGACCTCTTATTGACCATTTATTAACATTAAATATGTTATTACATTAGATGCAAATTCTTTATTAATTTATTGAAATGAATATTTTATAATTTGTGACCATCTTCTTAACAATCTAACATTTATGACTCCAAATCTAAATAAGATATAAATAACAATTATAAATCATTCATAAGAAACTACAAATAACAAAAAAATTAATCAGTTTATAAATAGGTGCCATCAAGGAAATAAATACAATAATGCCAGTTGATTCCATAAAATAGTTTGTAGTAGTAAGTAATAAATAATATTTATAAAGAGAAAATGTGAAGAAAACTTGCTAAGGGGTCTATTCTGTAACAATTCCTTTATATTTAAAGGCCTTTAAAAATATTTTCTTCTTTACTTCTGTCATTATTTAAACGGATCTTTAAAATACATTAGAGGACTATCTTAAAGAAATCTGTTTAAATAATGACAGAAGTAAATTAACGAATACAAACATATTTTTAAAGGTCGCCAATATTTTTAAAGGCCGTTAAATATAAAGGAATTATTACAGAATAGACCCCTAAGACCGTTAATAATTCACTTTTGTGTTCAAATAATTCAGCAGATAAATAAAACCATTAATCAATATGAACTTATAATGTATTTTAATGAAAGAATATACATACATATGTAATGTACAATATGTATTTACAGAATACTGTATATTTTTATACATTTTGTAGCGGTTAAGTCGACCTCCGCCCAGCTTGCCACATCAACGATGACAAATATGTATATATAAACTTCTTTTTTTTTACCATAATTGAATCGACGATCCGGAATATCGCTTTACTTTACTCTCAAAAGTATTCAATAATCCATTTCAATATTATTGTTACATATTTACATATTTTAGTAAGTAGTGGTGAGGATGGAAGGGTAGGCAGAGACTTGTTCCCAGAGAGTTAGTCAGAGAACTTTCGGATAAAACGGTACCGGGTTCAAATCCCTTCGGGTGGTAAGGATTTTTATTTAATTTAATAATTTATATATTAATTCTAATGCATAGGTAGGATTCGCCACTTGACCATTCACTGTTGGGTTCTAATTAACAGTGCTGATCCTAAAGCCTACGCAAAACACAAGGCTAATAATAGTCTAAATAAATTATTAACCAGGCGGATTCGTCCGCTTTGGTCTTACAAAACCATTTATATTTTATGTGTTTATCCGGTTCCGGAAATGAAAGGGTTAAATAGTCAACGAGAGTAATGTAAGGAGACCTTAATAAATTGTCTATTTTTATTGTATCTAAATTTTGTTTTTCTTTATATCAATCTGTCAAGACAAAATTATTATCATTATTAAGGTGCAATTTCGGTGACGCGGCTGGCTGCGGCGTCCAGCAGCTGCGTCTCCAGCCGCTGCACTGGTATGTACAGTTTCAAATGGAACCAATTTGGCTTGCGCAACGCGCGGCAGCCCGCGCTGCAGCGGCTGCTGTTCGACTGCTCGCGAAGCAGTCGAGCGGCTGAAATCGTAGTGACTAGGGCAAAAAATGGCGCCATTTACGTCAAATGACGATGAAATTTTAATCAACGAAATACAAAAATATCCCGTAATTTATGATTATGAACACAAAAATTACAAAAATTTTGTTATTAAAGAAAATTGTTGGAAAAAGGTCGCTAAAGAATTTTCTAGATAACATTTGGTATAATTCTTCTTCATCTTCTTCTAATAAAATTAATGTTATCAAATCGTCGTAATCCATATTTCTTAATAAACCCCGCAAAAATTTAAAATGACAAAAATGATACAGTTCGCTGTCAACGGCTGCCTAGAACTGCGTCACCGAAAACATCTTTTCATCGCGGCTACAGCTGCCGCGGCCAGCATCTCTAGTCGCGCAGCTCGAGCAGCACCACCGAAATCGCACCTTTAATCTGTATAGAGTCCGAGAGCTTTAGCTCGTGGACTCTATTCTTTGATTATTAATGACAAAATTATGTCAAGACAAATTGCAAAATATAGGAAAAATTTAGTAACAATAGCAAAAGGCGCTAATTTATTAAGGTCCAGTTATAAATAAATACACAATAAAATAACTTTAATTTCGATTCATTTTGAAACTTTACACGAGATATTAGCTTTACTCTGACGGTAGCCATTATTAAATATTACACCTATAATCAAATATGGGAGTTGCTGTCAATAATAAATTAAATATTAATTCTAATGCATAGGTAAGATTCCCCCTCGACTATTCACTGTGGGGTTCTAATTAACAGTGCTGTTCCTAATGTTGCACTAGGAAACAGTTGCAAAGCCTACACAGAACACGATACTAATAACCAACGTAGTTGATGCTGATGACACCAAATTAATAGTAATAATTCAGAGATTCATCAAATCAATTACTGATGAAGATGCAGAAAGCGGTAATTCTCGAGTCCATTCGTCTTTTAAGATAACTGAATTTGGCCGAAAATTTTTAGAAACTTTTTAGGAGGATATGTTCATAATCTTTTCTAGATACAGTCAATAAATTTTTTAAGTTTATTGTTCTGATTTCCTGATTTCTTCAGCTCTTATTGACCTGTACCTGTGCCATAGGTTCCGTTTTTTATTGATTTCTTTGAAGTGGGTTCGATTGATCCATGGTCTTTCAGGGTTTTTATTTATTATTTCTAGTAGAATATTGTCGTTTATTGCAGTATGTTACGATATCATCCCACTCATTTTCAAACTAACCTAACACCAAATATGGTCAGGCAGTACACGTGGACTGAATTAGATATGTAAATAACCAATAGAAATTAACCATCAGCCTATAGAGTAGCAGCAATCTTCGCACAGTTGTCGAGAATAAATTAATTCTAGCATATTAGGTATATATGTTGGTTTTTAAATGGCAGTCATTTAATAATAAATTACAGTAGTACATTTTATTTTTGCAGTTTGACAACTGTTTTTCAACATTCGCTTTGCCGCCTATTTGCCGCTCCCTTTGTGAAAATATGTTAGTGGGGTGTCTCTGCTCCCTATTACACATTCTCGAAGTCCATACCCAGCTAGCACATAACGTTACCAAGCCTTTCGGCGATGTTGTTTTAAGGGAACATAATAACATACCCATACAACGTAATTGCAACGTTAATGAGAAGTTGTTGAGGGAAATCAAAACCTCGCGAAACATCTATTTGTTACTTACGTATTTAACCTGCCTGTTATGATAACACAACGTAATTAAGTAACTTGCTAAAAAAGTTTCCACGAGAAGTACTATGGACTTTCGAACGTAGCCATTCGTTTGTCATAACCAACAAAACATAAAAAAATGTCACTTGTCACTTTTTCAAGTGAACCT